CAAGGGCCCCTGACTCCTCTGCCTGGCTATGGGAAACTTTCTTACCTCCTAGTTTGGAGAGAGCTCATTACGCCTCCTTTGCTCCAGATTTGGCAAAAGCTGTGGGTGCTCCTGACCCCAGGGCAGAGGGGCGATAGCTTGTGCTTTCACAAGAGGGGGGAGTTAGCTGGGTACACTCCAAGCCAGGGGCAGAAAAATCAACTTTCTGCATGCCAGGGAAGAGCAGCCTCTGGTTTGCAGCACTGGGGAATTCTCAGAGAAATGAGCAAGGGCAGGAAAATCCGCCTAGGAAGACTTCTGGCATATGAAACTTTAACATGTCTGGAACAGCCCAGACAGGAGGGAAAATACAAGGTGTGCAAGACCTTGCTTACATTATCCTGGGCCAAGCATGGTGTCATTGTGTGGAGGCCAAACTGACAGAAACTGCAGAAATGTGCCCAATGTTAGGTAGTTTCCTTTATGGCTCTGGCAGAATTCCCCACTCTCGGCAGCCGTAGCCCTGAAACCAGAGAAAATGTTCAGCCCTGTCCGGCTTGCCTTCCTATTCAAACCATCCTGCAAGTCTGAAACAAAAAGCCCTTGAAAACTGGGTAGCAGCTGCCTGCTGAGTGTTTTAATTGTGAAAATGCAAAACAAAAGTCTTTGTTACCAGCATATCAGGCATTTCACTGAAAACAGTGCTTTTAGCGGATGTTGGAATAGGCTGTAGGCCTATGAATACACTTATTCTGAGCTTTTCCGTGGAAAGGCAGCAGTTGGGGATTTCTCCAGCTGACTTCTGGAGTGCCCCGCAGCAGGGAGCCCTTAGGTTGGAAGGGAGCCATGCCCTCGGATCATAAGCTTGTTTCCCTCTTCTGGGAATCCATCCCCATGCACAAGGTGCTGCGGCTGTGTCTTCCCCAGCTCCGGCAGCAGTAGCCAGTTGGCAGAGGAGCTGTTGGGAACAAAAGCTGTGCTGACTTCTGAGGTCCGACTGACTTCTGACTTGGGGGCTGAGAGAAATTGTGTTCTGCTAAGAATACTTTCTTCTCCGTCCCTCTTCCCATCAAAATACAGACAGCAGTGTTTTCACAGGATCCATATCACAGCCCTGGGGCATGATATCAGTGTGAGTTTGGCGTGTAAGCCTCCATGTGAGTTTGCTCTTCAGACTCTGGAAGACTCTCTGGCAGCAGAAGGCTGTGCCACAGCTGTACAGCAATCCCTATCGAGAGGGTGTTTGTGTGGTTGTCACATCAAATGGAGTTCCATCCCTGGTCCGCAGCTTTGACACATTCTCATCCTGGAAAAAAAATACTGCATATGACTAGGACTATTGTTTTGAAATATTCTGTCTTATTAAGCCTGTAGCGGCTGATTCTTCGTATCCTGCTGATTTATAACAGCAATCAGGAAAGTGAAGTGGTGCTAGAAATCCCATAAAGACAGCTAACCCTGCAATGCATTAAAGCAATACAAATACCACCTCAGGATTCATTATCGCCCCCATTCGCTGCCCAACTAAGCAATCAGTTTTGGAGAAACACAAATAAGGACAATTCTTTCTGTCCAAACTGAGCTAATTAGTGATGGAAATGGGGAGAAGTGGGAAGAATTAGCATTATGAGGCATGGGATTTTTACAAAGGGATAGAGCATTTGCTCTCCAGCTAGTGAGATACAGGCTTGAGGTCTCTCATCTGCTACTAAAATAGAAGATACAGCACTCCCAGGTAAATGTTACATTTTTTGCATGTTAACAGTCATTAACCAAGTGTACATGCATCTCCGTTTCCCAGACTAAAACAAGGTATTTGCTGTGCCTTTACTGTTGCTGCTATGTCTGTCTACTCAGGTGTTACTTGTTCTGTGAAACGCCTCTTGAAGTAAAGGTATTAAGATTGGCATGTTTTAAATCAGGAACAGTAAGTCTAAAAGTAGATCACTACATGTTGGTTTTGTAAGATTTTTGGGACATTTCAGCACATGCAATCAAACCACCCGTTGCTTTCGCTCACACTAAGGTGGGAGTAGGCACTAGCTAGCACTGTTTTCGCTGACTTCAAGACATCAAGAAGAGCCAGAAGAACTGTGTGGATCTTGACAGCTCAGGGAAAACATGTGTTTTACTGGTATAAATGTAAATTAGAGGCATCTATGGATTTGAAGGATTAGCCACTGTTACCTACTTAGCCAGACGGTTTGGAACTAGCACCTGAAAGTTGTTTTAACTAGCCTGTGGAGGCCCAGGGTGCTCACCACCCTGCTGGCTCTGTCTCTTTGGAGAGCAGCAAGACAAGGATGTTACAGGTCAAATGCCAAGAGACGCCTCTCGGTGTTTAGCTGAGTTTGGACTGAACATGACAGGTTGAAAGGTGTGAGTGCAAAACCAGACAAAAGGTGATGTAATAGTTTTATCAGGTAACAGTCACTGTAGCAACCAAACTTTACCATGCATGACAAGTTCCTCCAAGTCTTTCCACTCTGTTTCTTTTCCACGCGGCTTTTGTTACCACAGGTGTGTTAAGGATTTCAGCTGAAGTAAACTGGGGCCCCGCAGGGTTCTTTCCCGTGGGACCGTGTGCAGGGTTTTCACAGCTATTTTTACGTGCTTTTCTTGCACATAATGTTAAATCAACCTCACGAGATTTTTAGTTTTTCTGTCCCCCTCTGAACGCTGTGCATATTTATTCCATTGGCCTTGATGTTCATGCTGGGTCACAGTGCTGGGCACGGTGCTGAGCCTTCCCCTGAGCCCCTGGTGGTGGTGTCCTTCGGAGCAGAAAAGCACCAAATTTACCCTCCTCTGTTCTGTCATAGCAGTGGTGCCTCACATCCGTTAGATTAAACAGTGTGGACCCTGCCAGGTATGATCTTTTCTTATTTATTGTCTATTGCAAGTATAAACTGGGGGATCTTTTGTTCCCGTTTTCTTCACCGAACACAGGTTTTGACTGTGCCGAGTCTTTTTGACTGCTGAGATAGGATATAAAAACCAAAATTTATATTTGGGGTGGATGGCAGTGAGCTTTTAACCGCAGGGGGGAAAAGATTGCGTAATTTGAAAACAGAGAGTACGTTACTTCAGCGAAGGGACGCCTAAAGAATACTGATGATTCTTCATCAACAAGGCCCCCCTTATGTCCTTTTTAATTTGGCCAGTAAACCAGCCTCTGCAGTGTGTTGGGATAAACTGCTAACTTGGAATATTTCCCCGGCTGACTTTGTGAAAGCCCTTCTGTTGCCGAAGGCCAGCCGGGCACAGGGAGACGTGCCACATCTGCTGTCCTCCTCTCTGCTGATTGAATGCTGCCGTTGGCCGGCCAGCCCAGGAAGTGCAGGCTGGGGAGCGGGCTGGGGAGGAGCATCCCCTGGGGTCCCTGCAGAGATGGCAGAGATTTCACAAATTTTAGGGTATTCATTCGCGTGGGGCTCAGTGGGCTTATGCGGGGAGCCTGAGTGGTGGCCTTGTTTACTCAGATGAAACCCCATTTTCTCACTTAGCAGCAAGGCAAGGCAAATCAGTGCAAAGCATTCTAGGCAGCAAGGCACAGACAAATGTCTCTATACACGCACGGTTCCCCAGTGTCAGGCTCGAAACTGCAACATCTAACTTTGTCTCAGGGGAGTACTTTAGAGTAGGGTGGATGGCTGGACTCGATGATCCCGAGGGTCTCTTCCAGCCTAGATAATTCTGTGATTCTGTGATTATTACCCCCCCCTTTTTTTTTCATTCTTTTCAAATCTGGTGTTTTTCTCTCTGGGCTGTCTGTGCTATGAGGATGGGTCACAGAAAAAGGCTCCTGAGTCTCTCCACACTTGCACAAGAGGTGGGACAGTCTCATGTCTGTGGGCAGCCATTGGCTCTGCAGCCCCCCCAGAGAAAGCACCTGCCTCATGCTACGTGCTCACCTGCGCTGGGAAATACTTTTTAAAGCCAGCTTAACCCCCAAGCTGCCTTGTTGGCTTTTTGCTTTCCCTCATAGAGATATTTGTAACATAAAAATATTATAAATTACCTTACTTCAATTTTTTTCACACTTCATGTATAGTTTTTGATTAATAATTGGTAAGTATAGGTAACTATATAGACATTTTAAACCTCTCTACGGTGGCTTATTTGAAAGAAAAAGAGTAGCTCATAGAAGAAGGTGCCTGTGCTCTCTCTACTATATTTCTTGTGCTTGTGTATCTGTACTCCCCTCCCTTGTTCTTAACTTCCTCTGTTTCCCAGTGCCACATGGACTGGATTTGCTGGCTTCTAAAAGAACCTAGTGATCAACTGTAGTTAGGCTGTGGTATAAATTGCTTGGGTAAATTTGAGGCAGTAACTGAAATCAATGGAATTGCTCTGAGGGTGGTAAGACCCGGGCACAGGTTGCCCAGAGAGGTAGTAGATGCTCCATCCCTGGAAACATTCTAGGTCAGGTTGGATGAGGCTCTGAGAACCTGATGTTCTGCTCATTGCAGGAGGGTTGGACTAGGTGACCTTTAAAGGTCCCTTCCAATCCAAACTATTCTACGAATCTATAGTAGTTTCTAAGTAAAAAGAAATTCGTTTAGTAAGTTACCTTTAATAATAATCCTGGTATGCTATTTGTAATTAACATTGCTATATCATTACTATGTTGATTGATTTCCCATGGTAGTTTTCTTTGCTGTCTCATTCAACACACAGCAGTGGCATGTGCCAGGTAGTCTAAAAATTTTATTTATGTATCTTTGTGATTATTTTTTAGTGTGATTCAATACATACAAGACCATGATCCACCAGAGAAGTTTATTTTCTCTTTTGTCTGCTGCATCTCTGATCCTTTATTCTAAGATGATGAATGTTATAAAAATCAACCTGTGGAAAAGTTGTTTAATGTAAAAAATGCCTCCTGTATTACTTGAGTAGTAGTAAGGAAAATATTTTCAGTCTGTCAACCCAGCACAGGACAACTGCTCGTGCACTTGCAAGCTGAAATGTTATTTCTGTTTTGAAAATAATTTCCCCTTCCTTTTCTCCTGATCCAGGGAGAAGAAACTGAAAGCTAGAGTGCAAGAGTTGGTGAGTGCTTTGGAGAGACTCACGAAGAGCAGTGAAATCAGACATCAGCAGTCTGCAGAATTTGTTAATGACCTTAAAAGGGCAAACAGGTAAAGGATCTACCAGCAGATGGATGCACTATTGATTTTTTTTTTTTTTTGCCATGTTCCAGTAATGCACTGTAATCCTCCCCCTCTCTGAATGAGCAGTTTCAGGGTCCTTCTGTTCACACAGGTTGACTCTTTATATAGTTAGAGACAAGGGGAGGTATAAACCTCCCATGCAGGACATTGAAAACTACAAAGCTAAGAACAGAGCAGGGGAAATAGGTTAATCTTGAAAGAATTACAAGTAAATGCATTATTATTATTAAAACAAACAAAACCCTCCGTTTGGTCAGATTTATGAATCATGTCATTTTGTTTAAAATTGCTCCCTTTCCTTTGGCTTCAGCCCCTTTATTAACAAACTGGCTTTGATAATCACAGTTAAATTTTATTGCTCACTCAGTGGATTTCCCTGGCACTGTGTTTGGGTGGACTGAGAACACAGTGGAGTGTAGCTGCCCTTCCTGCAAGGAGTGTATCGCTCACAATGTAGCTTTCATTAATAAATTATACTTGAAAGCCCTTGTGGTGAGGAGCAGTACCCATCTCAAGCTTTCCTACTGAGTCAAGGCAGAGGCACAGGAGATACTTGGCAGTGGACAAATTAGCACAGGATGCCATCCTCTGGTTGTAACTGTTACTGTTTTAAGGGGAAGATGCAAAATCAGTGCTGGATTTTGTAAGGAGATTCTGGCCATGGAATTTCTTTGTAAATCATGACATGTTTAGTGTTGTGGTATCCTGACTTACAAACAGGGGTCTGCAAGGCCACCGTCAGCAACTTCTAGGTGGCTCTTTGAACCATGTTTAAAAACGTTTTTACTAACCAGTGTACTGGTAAAGCCACGTACTTGCCCCTAAAAAGATACAGGGTTAAAAAGATATAGCGATATAGATATATATCTATATCTCGATGCATTGATGTGGTTGGGATAGAATGCATTTTAAAGTACTAGTAAATTTTAGGAAGATGATGAGTACCCAAACTTTGGATTTCCCCAAAGGTGGGGGTTTGGGGTGGATTTTTGTAGCACTTGCTATGAACGAGACTTTTTGAATGACTTTGTATTGCCTTGTATTTCTAACAGCAACTTGGTAGCAGCTTATGAAAAAGCAAAGAAAAAGCATCAAAATAAGCTGAAGAAACTGGAATCGCAAATGATGGCCATGGTGGAGAGACATGAAACACAAGTAAGGATGCTCAAACAAAGAATAGCTTTACTAGAAGAAGAGAACTCTAGACCACACACCAATGAAACTTCACTTTAAACGCATCTCTTTCAGAGATGCTTAGTGCCATTACAAATGTCTGTCTGTTGGAGGCTGACTTTTAGGTAGCTTCAAACGCTAAAAGCTCTGACTGTCAACACTGACACAATTAAAGCACCTGCTCTGGGGTCCCAGGGAGGTGCCATGGGGATAATATAAGCGTTAACCTTAAGGACTGTTTCATAATGTAAAATGGCAGTGCCTGAATTACCACGCTATAATTATGTATGTTGTCTGTGTCACTATGTCTATATTCATACTGCTTCTCTTCCATTTTATGTACATCTCACGGCTGACAGTATCACATATAGCAAAATAATTCACATTTTAAGAGGTTTTAATTTGGGTGGTTTGGAGGTAATCTGTGAGTTTTCCCAATCCCTCCGCACACAGCTCTGTGTTGTACCCCCCAGATGTGCTGCTGAGGGTGAAACAGACAAGTGGGGCAGCAGCTGCAGAGTGGGGAGGTGATGGGCTGGCTTGCTTTTTGCAGTAGTGCCGCTCAGAGTGCAGATCAGGTAGGAAAACTCCTGTAGATTTGGGGAGAAAAAAAGAAAAAAAATCCAACAGCAAAAAACCCAAGAGACTCTAGTCACGTATCTGAAAACTATGATAATGGTGTATTTCGTACAGTTTGTAAAAGAACTAACTAAAGCCTGTGAGTTTCACCATGCCAGATAGATGGTCCATGCCAAGGCTGGGTAAGAAATGATAGGAGACCTCCTGGCATTTGTATTGCATGGTGTTTGCAGTTATTTTGTGAAACCGTTGGGTTGGGTTTCTTTGTTTAATACATTAATAGCCATGGTTTTATTTAAGAAGCTGGGCCATTTCTGTCACGTGTATAGTGCTTACTGCAGCTTTCTGTGATCAAGAGGTAGAATGTCTTCTTTTTATACTTGTTTTGACCAAAAAAGGTACTTATTAGGAATGTACCTGTTTAATATTTAATAGGCACAAAACTATAAATGTGTAGGTTTATGGATATACAGCCACAAACAGAATGTGAATGGTGAAGCCTTCATACAGCTTGTTAGGTTAGTTTTTTGTTACTGCTAACATTCTGTTCTGTTTCAGTCGCATCATGTTACTGTATTATCAAAGTGACTGAACTGAAAATGTTGGCCTATTATGATAATGAACATTTTGCTTAATAAGCAAAGCATGGGGATCCGGTTGATTTCTCTGGGGAGCATACAGGAGTCTGCCGTAACACCTGTTTCATTCAGAATTTCCTTCTTTTTCACCAAGTACAAGAAATGGCTTCCATGTTTGTTTCAACCTGCCAGAGTCCATTAACTTCATTAGCCTGTTAACGGTGTTACACCTGTACTTTGCATTTTTCAGGCGCTGTTTGCAAGTGAATCTGATTTCAGTTGTCTGTCCTTTTTTGCTTTACACAGCAAGTTGCACCTAAACTTTTATTAGTGTATTTAGAATTATGGTAACTTCTCTCATTTATTCCTCCAATTTTTAGGAAGTATTAAGGAAGTATTTTTAGAGGACTTGAACTGTTTTGTCTACTCCTGGGTTAGGCATGGCAGCCAAAATAGCTGTGGGAATTTCTGTTCAGAATACGGCATTATTGTTAAAAGTCTTGGTTACACATGAAACTGTAGCAGTTGGTGTTCATTACTGTAGCTGCTGTTTTCTTCTTTTCTTAGGGTAGTGATTCCTACTTCTCTAGAGTCTGATATAGCAGCTACAAAAGCCAACATCATATATGATTGATTGCAATAGCAGAACTAATCCTGATTTCAAAATTAAGTTTTAGGTAGTGATGCCCTGGGATTGGCTTTGATCAGTCCTCTTTCTCAAGATAATTGCACTTCTGAATTTATAATGCAAACAGAAATTTCTGCAAACCAAGTCTGTTGAGGGACCAAGCACGTTGATTTCTTACTCTCTTTATGACTTTGCTAAGTATCTAAGGTGTTTCCCTTTCTTGGCCAATGAGTTCCTCACCAACAGGAATGTGGAGTTTTGCCATAAACTGGTAGCCAATTACACTTCTTTCTGAAGAAACACCAGATTATCCACTGTGTACTGTGGCAAAAACGCAGTTAAAATTCTGTCATCTTGCATCTGGGAAACCCATGTAACTTGAGTCATCACAAACTCTCTGTGTGAAATACCCTTAACTTACAGTGATTGGAAACCACTGCCACAATGGATTTCCTGAGGCTCAATTTTTTCTATTTCATGGTAGCTAGAGAAGCTGTAAACAAAATACAATGAAGCCTAAAGCATTTGAATTTAAAACTGTCTTTAAAGGAAAGATACAAATTAAGAAAGCATGAAGTGCACCTGGGTTGAAAGGCATGAAAACTGCAGTGTTCCTGTAGGAAACTGAATATTGTTTTACTATATTTACTGCGTTATCTTCCCTGCCAACTATGCTCTAAAAGTGTTTTATGATAAATTATAAATCATCAGTAAATGTAAGCCACTTCTTCCCCTTTCTTTTTCTTGAGACTGGTATTGTGCAGCCTCAGCAGTTTGCCAGGCCACCAGTTATTTTGCCTAAACAAGCAGCTATTGCTTCATTTGTTGGCATACTGGAAAAGGCCAATAGAGAAGTGGCAAAAGGTTTACTCTTATTGTGAAAACTGTTTTAATATTAACAATTAGCTGCAGTTCCAATGTGCCTGTTAAAATGGCACCGACCCTCAGAATAAATGGCAAAAAAATTAATTCAATTTATGCAACAGTTTGAAATACCAGCACACCAGCCGATAGACCAGCGTGCAAATCACCTTGAGTCACAGCAGCCTAACGCTCTTAACACTTGTTGCAGAAATGATACATTTGCAAAGCAAGAAAAATAGGTGGTTCTTGCCAACAGAGCCTAAGTTGATCTAAGTTAATTACTGATTAATTAATCTTGGGGTGGTGTTTTTTTTTAAGTCACCAGAGTGCATGAAACTTTGTACTTTACAGTGTGTTCAGAAAAAAGTACTCTTTTTTTCTAATTAAATGTATAAATCTTCACCAGCTTGAATGTACTGTTAGCTATTGCAAAGCACATGTGACTAAGTTTGCATTAATGTCAGTATTGTTCTACTAGTTTTATTAGGATTTTCTTATCTTTTAATACTGTACCATACATCGTAATTTTAGAACCTTTTCACCTTACTGAATTAGCTTTAAATGTGTTGCTGCTTTTTAGTTTCCTAGCTGCTGTAAAATAGCTATTTTGTGTTTATTTGATATAGAATTGTAAAAACTGCATTTATTTATACAGAGACATTTATAATACTTATTTTACAAATGTTCTTATATTCTGAATAAATTTCTAATGCTGTTTCTTTGCCTCGGGGGTTGCTTTACCATACCATGTCATCTTATTGTCGAATGGGTCTGCTTAAAGGTACCACAAAGACCTTCCCCAAGATAAGTTATTGAGATGGTATGACACTCCACGTACCTACTTATGGGAACCTTCCTGACAAAGCTGGGAAGAAGCCATGGGAGATCTGATCACGGCTTTTAGCTCAGCTCAAGCTTTCAATTGTGTTCAATGGGCCCCTTGTCCACCTTTAAAATTGACTAAAAAATAATAAGTTATTTTCCTGACACTATACATAATCAGTACTGCTGAATGGCTTAAGGCAATATTTAAACATTCTACAGTGAAAGACTAAACCAGCAGCACAGGTTTTACGTTTCACACTGATCAGCAATGTTTATATTCATACTTCAGTACTTCAGTAAGTTTATGTATAAAATCATTTAATTTTGCAGAGAAAAATTACAGAATAGAAGAAAATGGCAATTTAGTCAGCCTCTTAAATGGTGTGCTTCAGTTTCTGAACCTGTGAGTAACAAAATGACAACCATCAGTACAACAGATATTACAGGTAGTTACAGATTTTATTTACTAAAATTGAAGAGTTGACTAATGCAAACTTTCTTCAAGGTACAATAATGGGAATGGAATAAAATCTGTAACTTTACATGGTTTTAACCCTATTAGCTGTACGTACTTTCTAGCACCGATATGCCACTTACATACCAGTGAGGAAAACAGATCAAGTTCTTGAGCTTTAAACAAACAGGAGGAAGACATAACCCTTCATGCAAAGAGCCATATAATAAAACACTGGCTCTCCATTTTCTGCGAGGCATGCAGTGCTGCACAGAAAAGTGTTATTTTTGGGCAGAAATACTTGAGTCAGCCTGGGTCCTAGAACACATAGAGCAATCTAGCATTATGCCAAAATTAATGAACGCAACCCCACCTTCTTCTGTGGAGTCTGTTTTGCTTTCTAAAGTTAAAGTGCCTTGCAAACCCAGCTAAGCTGCTCCTCAGGGCTGAAGAACAGCTTCCACACACTGCAGTGCCATGCAGACATAGTAAAATTACTGAAGTATCCTGTTTTAAAGTATAGGCTTGAGAAGTATTTGCTGAGAGCTCTTAATCATGCAGTTTTGCATACTTTTCCTGCATAACAAAAATATATACCCAACCACTAAGATCATCTCCCTAGTTTAGTTATTTTGCTCAAACATGCCTTTTAAAAAATTTGGAAAGTAAGTTTTTTCTGACAGTGGGAAGTGCATTGTAGAGAACTGAGTTTGCAGGATCTATTATCTTAAAAAGCTATAAATGCCTTGTTTTAAAATGATTAATGCTGCATGAGCTGTAATCATTTTTTTAAAGGCACTGAACTAACTCATAATGGAAACTAGAAGCTAGTTCTTCTGATCAGTAATAGAAGTGACCAACACTGACAAAATACTCAAGTGTTTTCCCATAAATTTCATAGTGAACCTATTCCAATTGAAACATTCTGTAACCTGTGAAGTTTTGATAAGTAGTTAAAAAGCAAGCTTTCTTTTCTTTACTTCTGCAAGTATTGAAGGAGGAATTGAAGACACTTTTACTTCCTTCCCAGAAGTATCCCAGAGCTGAGAACAATTTAAAGATAAAGGTTGCTGTAAAGCTGAACCTATACAGTAAGTTAAGTCTAGCTTAACCTAACATTTTGAATTAAAAGACAAGTTAAAACCCGAGCACTTAATTTTAACACAGTACTACTAATCCAGAATTCTTCCTCTTGTATGATCTTGAATATGGCAAGTTAATTGCTATGTATCAACATACGTCTTCCATTTGAGTTCTATTTGAAACAGTGAAATGCAGACACAGCATAAATCCTACTGCCTTGACCGGTGCTTATGTACAGGATTAAGAACAGTGCAAATACTAGCATTTAGCCTACTTTCATTCTTGAACTACACTATTGCTATAAATGCATAAGAACAAAAACCTATTATGCAAGAGCAGTGACATTTCCAAGCCTAATTTACTGTAAAAGCACCTTCAGTTAGCTTGTAGAAATCTACCTTATCTTAAATAATTTTGGTTGCTTCAAAAGCTGAAATATTGTAATAGCAATCTGAAATCATGATGTCATGTATAAGCACCAGATTATTTAACATATACAGTGCAAGACGCAATTTCTGTAAATAAACAGATTTTACATCAACAAGAGAGGCTATTCAATCAGTTCTCAATAATTCTGAGCTTCGTAACACATTTAGAGTATAACCTCCTAATCTAAAAGATGAAGGCACCTGACTTTACCTCTGAAAAAAGAAAACCCTCTTGTTGCTCAGAATTTATAAAAAACAGGTAGCCAAGGATTAAACAGCCCACTGACCCAACAACTGGACAGCCAGCCACCCGTGGAGCAGCAGTGCCATCTCGCACGACAGGATATTAGAGCTTGGATTCTCAATGCAGACTCTTGCTCTTCACACCAGAATGACGTGAGTGCTGCTATAAATTGCAAATCAACAAAAGCAACTCTACTACAGTAAGTAAAAGTTGGAAAAAATAATTTCTTATCTGAGAGCAAGTCTGCTGGGAACAGCCAGACCCAAAGCCTGCCTTGTTTTTAAAAGGAACTGTTACATTTATAACAGCCACAGATAGGTGAAGGGAAAAAACACAGAATTGTTCTCAAATCACCAAATTAAATCAGGAAGGTTGGAGCACAGCATAGAAGCCTGGAACAGTGACTAGGCCCAACTTTTTATTAGAAACTATTTATGCAAGTTTGGTCTAAAGAATTTACATTGTGTTAAAAAAATACTTTGATTGTGCAATAAATAAAGCTATTTCCCCTCTTCTTCCCAGTACCACTGTTTCCAGACTTCAAACTAGGTAAGACAACAGCTACTTTCAAAAGCATGCATGTACATCGAGGAGTTGAAGTTAATAGCATTTCAGCACAGAATATATGTCATTCAATTAGGCAGATCACTCTTCAGCCTGAGTTCAAAGTTTAGAGCATTCTGTGAAGGAGAGATGCTAAAAAATCTCGCACTAAAGCAGGGAGTTTATGTAGAACTAGAAACTGCAAACTAGGACTAGATTCCCAGCACCCACACATTTGTAGGCTTTTTTTTTTTTGTTAAACATTTGTTTATTCCACAAGTTCTTTAATTTCAAGAACATTGAATGACCATTCATAATCTGATTAACCCCTTACAGGCAAGCATTCTCAAATTGAGAAATGTTTGTTTTTCAAGTATCTTGACATCAGCTCTCGAGTCTGACATGCAATTACTGTGTCTAGCTCCGACAAAATAAAAACTCACAGAACTAAATTCTATTCTAAACTTGTTACTTCTTCACTGTTTTACAGAACATAATGTAAACTGTACTTCTAAACTTAGAAATATACTTAATTATAAAAGGATGGTGAAATAAGAACATAAACAATAGTAAACAATAAAAAAATGTTCACAGTGCAGGGCATGACAGAACCCATAAGGTAGATCACATGCCACCACACTTACATTGTTTTAGAAACCTTACTGAGAAAGCAAAAAGCAATGCTACTACAAGAAACAGTACCCTTATACAAAGAAGTTATTGCATATTTATCACATTTATTTGCAACTCACATTAAGGCTAGATTTACTAAAATCATGACATATGTATAAGCCCCACTTTGGGTTGCTTCATGAAGCAACCCACTCCTCTTAAGACCAACCTTTCACTAAGAAAAAAATGACCCAGTGAATACAGAGGACAGCCAGCAACTCCTATTCATAGGACACACTTGCTTCGTGCTAAAGATTTCCTCTGTCTGGGACATGATTTCCCAAACAACTGGCAGAAGCTCCAAGTTCACTGCTTTGTCAATATCCCCTTTATTTCACAGAGCACTACATGAAATATAACTGTAATTTATCTGAAAAGTCAACTTACTTATTAAAGATTTCCACAGCCTGATATTTAATCATGCCTTAGGAGAGTCTTGTGAACTCCACAGGCAGTAGCAGCCTCAGGATATGAATACAAACTTCTGCCTCACCATGAGTAAAGGCACTTTTGCTGGGAAATCAACTACTTGCACTAAAGAAGTAACTAAACATTAGTTTTCACCTGAAGCTGAATAACATAAACCTCCTCCAGCGTTATCCCACCTTCTCAATTACTGTTCTTTGCCATGTACTGTTTTGAACAGCCTTTGGATACCTTTTTTTTTAACTTTTTTTTTTTTTTTAAACAAAGTGAGACAAAGCTAAATTGAGCTATTTCACAATTTGGTCTTGAAAGACAAGGCCCTCAAGACTCTTGTCCTCCAGAAGGAGGAAATGCTGCAGTCTGTTTCTCCTGTTGACTCATACAGGAGCCCAGCATTCCCATCACCAAGATTATTACAGCATTAGAATCCCATATCACCTGGTACCAGGCAGGTAAATAAACCAGGAGATAATTCTAAAGCTATTTCTGAGGAAAAGCACTAGGTAACAGATCAGGTAGGATGGATGAAGTAGGGTGGTTGAAGGAAGACCAGGATTTTGGTTTTGGATGACACATGAGTTGCATAAAGACTCGGTGCATGAGCATACACTGTGATGAGACATGGGCGTAGTTCATTCAACCTATGGTGTCACCAATTACTCACCTTTATTTTAGAGAAAAGTCTATTTTTAAATCTGGGACAACATGCTTGCTACCACAAGCTGCTGTGACAGTGCATTTCTCTCAGCTGCAAAGCACGTGTTCAAAACCCTGTAACTTGAATCATGAAGGTGATTTAACAGTTTGTCACCTCAACTCTTACTGGTTTTTTGGTGTGTCCCCCCCATCTTTGATATTTTTACTACGAAAGTGTTGTAGCTGAAAACAACTGAGGCTACATCATTTAAATGCTAACTGCAAGTGCAATTCAATACCACTGGATATATACAGAGCATACACTACACAACAGATCTGAGGACAACAGCACAGAATACGATACTGGACACCCTTAGAATAATTATTGCAAGCCCGATTAAGCCGTTTAGTGTCACACAATGACTCTATTATCCATGCACCTGCCTTCCTCCTCAGTGAGATCTACAGAGGCTTATTTACATTCAGTATAAATTCTACACAAGTAACCTCTCACAAAGTTTAAGCTTTTCGTTTTTGAAAGCAGCTGCAACTGGGCTGACACAAAAACTTGCAACTTCTTACCCAGCTGGGGACAGTGCTTAAGAGTTGAAGCTAGACACTTTGAATGGCTAAATTCTACCCAGTTTGTGTATCCTTACTGGAGACAGAGGCAGAGTAGGTACGAGAAGTCAACATGCTATAGATTTGACTCCAAGTGCTACTGATTGCCAGCCAACAGAAATTATCAGGGTGAAGGAGGGAAGATACTTTGGGCAAGCAACCAGGACAGAGAAAGGATGACAGGCTGAGGCTAAGTTTGAAATGTGCAACTTGGTTTCAAAATCACTAGCACAGAGGAGTCCTCTGAGAATCAGTTTCATTGCCACTGCCATAATATTGCAATGTGCTACACAATAATGACTAACAAATCCAATAATTTACATCAGAGCATTTAAAGGTTTAGCAAGCTGGTATATGCTAACAGTTAAAAAAAAAAAAAGTCAATGACATTCTATAAAACACACAGCAAGTTAAAAAAAAGAAAAAACAAAAAACAACAACCAAAGATTAAAAAATGCCCTCTAACGCACAGCTAGGAACAAGTGAACTGAACACTGGAAAGGTACTTTGTACTTTTGTGGACAAAGGCTATACTGCATTTAAAGTGCAACACTTGACTATGCCACTCCCATACTGCAAAAAGAACAAACCCTTCCAAACCATCAGTCAGTCCCTGCATTGCATTTAGAAATCAATCAAACAAAACAAAACAAAAAAGTCCTGAGAAAGAGTAAGGCTGGATAATAAACCCCCTCAATTGCAACAGGCAAGTCTGATTTTTGCTCCTAATAATTTTGCTGTCAGAGGTCAAAATTTTTCATTATGGCATCATGGTCAAACTTGAAACTCAAGAAAGCTCTTGATGAGAATGCAAATTTGTAATGGCCATTGCATGCCACAGAATGTCCCTCTACGTGTTCTGGCAGTGGGTCTTCACTGGAGCAACACATCTCATATGCTGCATCTGCTTAAAGAAAAAAAAAAAGCACGAAACAGGTTTTAAACAGTTATCAATAAGAGCATCAATAACAGCACAAAGTCATACCTCAAATGTGTATTCAATTAATATTTATGACAAAACATGTATGCCTGGTCATAAACAGACGAGGGGAACTCAAACAGCCATATTTACAAGTCATTCTGGTGGCTAGAACAAATCTAAAGTCATGGCAATTTGGGAACACTTTCAATAGCTAGTTTTACCCACAGGTGCTGTTTTACAAGTCATCTCTTTATAAGGAGGAAAGAAATAAGGCCCTGTTTTCTGAGCAGTAAGTAAAGAACTGTGTACACTCCCCAAAGTAGTCCAACATCAACTGCATATTATTACTAACAAGACAAAAAGCCTTGAACCAACACTCAAGTTACCAGCATTGTGTTGATTCAGACGCTACTTTCCTAAACCAGCTTTCAGTTACTTTTTCCTCAGCCACCTGGTATAATCTGACAGTCTTAACAAATAAGGAGAAGAACTGCAAACCAGCATGAAGCTGCACATGAAGTTAACCAAGTTAAAAAATTAATTAACTCAGATTGCCTTAGAAAGATACAGCTCAATAACATTTGGTTAAAATGGAAAAAACCCTCAACCATCCTTATTCAGGTTCCTTCGGCCTGTAACACTAACAGTGGATGAAAATTCAGACTGCACTTGCCTGTTTCAAAGTTATCTTGAAGTCTTCTCGTATTAAGCCTTTTTTCACATTTCTGGTTAAGAGAATGACCATACATTACACACTTCATAAAGAAACAGTATTCTATTTATTATGGTTACAGCTTAAACAGCTAAAAGGTATGCTGGTTATATTTGCTTTGACATACCTCCTGATTGTGAATGATTTTATTTCTAACACAGCATGAATTCTGTCATGTTACTTTATCTAGTAAGCATGCTTCAAGTCCACAAATCTTTCAGAAACATGCAACTTTTTAACAGTTTACAAACCATGTTTACAATGGAGGCTTTCAGGGAAAAAAATCTGAGTGCTTTCTAAATGTTTTAAGCTGGAAAGGTCTTGCATGTAATGGTGTGGAATTCAAGTTGTAAACGCATAAGACCATTCTTCAATTAACTTGTTCCGAAAAGCAAGGGGAATGTATTTGTATTTGCAAACGTGCTGCTACTGCCAATTAAATTAGCATGCATTAGAGACACAAACTTAGAACTCTGCAGAGTTCAGTTTTAGCCCCAGGTAGGCTGCTGGCAGTATACAGAGAAAATTATAGCCCTTTGCTGTCTGTGTGAATTAAGAGTTCCCTGGCCTACAAATTTTATTAGAAAATTATCACTGGGACATGAAATATTTAAATTTCAAAAGACAGATAATCATGAAAATGCAAATGAACACCACTTAAGTATTTCACAAACTCTGTAAAGAGCCTAAAAAGCAACTGTGGAGTATTAACAGTTCCACTTGCTTCCACCAAGATCCCACAGATTTCCATTACAGTTTTTTCTATACAGCCAAATTTCTGGGCAGTCAGTTCTTCGACTTTCCGTTCTTCTACTCTCAGACCCAAACAGAACTAACCATTTCTTGCTACAGTGAGAATTTTACAGAATGAGAGTTTACGGTTTCTTCATTTTCACATAAAAAACGGAGAGAAGGTGAAATTCATGAGCTGTAACAGGAAGAATCTAGCTTACAGCCAGTAAACAAGAAAAACTAAAGCCTGGACAAGCCAGCTGAACTGCATGGAGAACTGGGGCTCACTGCTGCACAAGAGCCAGCAAAACAGAATTGGAGAGCCATAAAGAATGGAGGGGGGGGCGAAGAAAATGGGGGAGAGGGTCAAAAAGACACTATATTAAAGAGAGAGATCTCAGTGAGATATTTGTGAGCCTTCTCCCAGCCAGGAGAAATATGCTGGCTTCGTTACTGCAAGGGAAGAAGTGACAAACCAAAAATGTCCTATTGAAATTTACCAACTGCTGTAGTTCTACTGTATGATTAAAAAATGATATGAGATTCTAGCATGCTAGTCAAGTTTGCATCTCAACATTTTTGCTAGAGCAAGGAAGTAATAAACATGTGCATTACCACTTTGCACCCCATTGTTGCATAACAATACGCCATGCTTACAATAATACATCATACATGATTAGGTTGACAGTTGGACTAGATGATCTTTAAGGTCGCTTCCAACCTAGACAATTCTATGATTCTATGAATAAATCAGACATGTACCACACTGACTTACTATGATATACTTGTCCTGGTTTGAGGTAAAACAGAACCAATTTTCTGTTCAGTAATTTTACCTTTTTAGCTGGGCTTTTTCTAACTAAACTCTGAAATTAACAGCATATTGTTCAAAAACCGTTCCACTCTCACAGTGATAAGACCCGATTATACCAAGGAATGGTATGCAGAGAGGCCCTTGCTTATATGTATTGCTATAACAACCAAGGTCAGGTAACTTCATTATTTGCCCTGTTGGAGGGTCAAAAGCAGAAAACCTGTAGGGAGGAGCGGACAGGACAGGTGAACTGCAACTGACCAACAGGGTATTGCATCCCATCTGCATCATGCTCAGTATAAAAGCTGAGGCATCAAAGGGTCAACTCTCTTCCTTCCATGGCCAACGTCCGAGGAGGACCCTGTCTGTTTGTCTGCCTTTGATCCCAATGCGAGCGTTCCTGACTCCAGATCCGGAATCCAGCTCCTGTCCATCATTGAGTCCAGTCTGGGACTTTTCCCTGTGCCTGCTGGTGACGTGACCGTCATCCTGGCAGCTTGATACAGTTTTGTAAATACTTTATACTTTTTTTTCCCCCCTTTCCCTTTTTTTTTGGTGTTTTATTATTATTATTTATTATTTCATTATTTATTTATTAATGTTCTCATTAAAGTAGTTTAGTTTTTTTCTAAACTCATAAATCTCTTTAACTCTTCCTCTCCTCTCCTTCCTTTTCCTTAGAGGGAGGGAGGAAGGGGCCATCTGTCGTTCTGATTGGTCAATCTGGTCAAAACCATGACAATACTATGTAGGCTATTACTTGACAAGAATCTGGAAAGCTGCAAGATCATCTACTGAAAAAGCTGACAGATTTTCAACTGCTAAAACAAGACTGGCTTCCAAACTGCAACCTAGGTATATATGCATAAAAGGTAACAAACGTCCTATTTCTACAAACACATACCCAATATTCTGATCAAATATACTTTTGATAGATATGCACTCTATTTTCTTTCAAGAGGACATTGGCCTGGCCATTTGTTAAGCTTTACTGGAACCAGTAAATAAGACAGCCACTGCATGTTTCTTACCAAGGTATGGTTTTGCTTAACTGGTTGAGCATGGACTCCGTTTGTTCGCTTCTTCTGGGTAGAAGTGTCTTGATGCTGCTTTCTGCCATTGCTCCTCAAGCTCTGACTCTGCCATTAAGTCCAAAATGTAGTAAAGAGAAGAGTTTACATGGCAGCATTGAACATCACTGCACTGACACTTCCAACTTATTAGTTAAAACATTCCTGAAATAACCTCAAAACATATAAAGGAAATCTTTTGTAGGCAAACTGAAGCACACTGAAATTAACCAAACATACACTCAAGTCACAGTCATCAGCTGTTACTCAGTCTTCTCTTGCATTATTACATACACTGTATTACACATCAGTGAATTCCCATACATTGATGCATAGATACTAGTGGTACTGAAAATATTTCAAAATGGTACACGGAGGACACCAAAATGCTGAGTAGTAATTGCTATCTATACCTGAAACAACACAACTACCACCTGATATCCACCACTTCTAATGTCAGATAAATCTGAGAATCCTCAAGATTATTTTTTCCATGTGTTTTTTTTTTTTGCATGTTATGATGATAAATCCAGCATTTTCATTCCAGAGAGGAATCCTTATGAACAGACACATGTGTTTTGAATAGCCCAGATGCATATGGTTGCCTAAGAGACAACCTACCTTTATTTTCAAAGCTTCTGACATCTCAGGATGACTATATGGCTTCTGTGGCTGTTTTGGCTTCACCCACTGCTCTCCTGAAGAGCCATCTGTAAACACCTGCTGACTACAGCGAAGTTTGGATCTAGTACAGGAAAACACACAGAGTTCACAACACAACTTGATAGCAAACCTGTTGATAGCAGCACATAAATATGAAAGAATTTTCTGCTTTTTGAGAACAACCTGGAAGGCAAGCTTAAGAACCCTAGTGTGGAAACTGTAATAATGCTCACTGCATTCACCCAACTTTGTTTTGCCAGCTGGTAGGAAACCTATGTTCTGCATAGGCAGCAGACTAGGTTCATATTAACATTTGTCCTGTTGTTGTTATTGTTGGTGCTGACTGGGCTCCAATCACTGGAGCATAGCCTTTTCTTTGGGAATAGTTTTTAAAATTTGCTCTACTGTTTTTAGCTCAACTGAATCAAAAGCCAGTAGGAGTTATTACCCTATTGATCTCCACAGGTTTTATCTAGCTAGCTACTTCTGACAGTACTTTATGGTCCTACTTTAAAGGGATCTATTTTTCTTTTGTGGAAGTGTCAAAAGCATTTAAATCGAACCAGTGAAAGTTACCTACTTGTTTAAGCTTCTGCTTTTCTGGATTCCCACAGACAGGACTCATGAAATTATCTCACTTCTGACACATGACAGAATTTACCAAACAGAAGTGTATCATGACATTAATTCTCATCCTACTTACTGCTCTATGACATATGCCTGCTTTTTAAAATTTTTTTAACAACCCATTCTATTACTGGAACACAAATACTTGGTGAAAGAGAAAAGACAAGAAGTTTTGTATGATCAGTGTTTTATAGAAAGGATATAGAGGTGTTAAACTGACCTGGTTCTTACCTAGCTTTTTCCAAGTTGGGCCTAGAGGATGTGCTCCCCGCAGATGAACATCCATTATCGCTATCTGTGGAATCTCCGTTCCTTCGGGAAATCCATTCCCTCAATGGCCTGTGAGCGCAGAGATATGCAACAAGATCTACTTACTAAAACAAATCTAAAGAAATTAAAGTTGTCTGAAAGGCACTTGCATAGCATCTGCTTCATCTCAAACATACCTGATGAAGGGAATTGCCATAAAGAATTTGTTAGGTGCCAAACCCAACTTGGACTTTGGGGTCATGTCATTTCTGTGGCATGGCAATTTGTCGATGGAAAACCACTCAATATTCTAGAAAAACAAAAAATAAAAATCAAAATACCCACTACTGTAGCCTTACAGAATGTTACAAATCTGTATCTAACACATTTATTTCTCATAATTAAAAAATTATAAGGGAAAACTTTAATTAACAGACTCCAATAGGGCTTTTCACAAAATGTTATTTAACAATGAGGTCATTATTCTGACTGCAACTACAGAGTAAGAGATGGTACAGCACATACCCATTGCAAGCTATCGCACCTAAAACATGAAAGGTATTATCCAGTAACTAAATTCTGAATGATGAGTTTCAAAAACCAACCAAACCACCACACACTGAATGCCATAAATGAAGGTATAGTCTTTAAATAATTTTCAAAGCCACTACTATTCTTGCTATTTTTATTTAAAATGCCATGAAAACTAGACCAGCAATGATAGTTCAAAAATTATCAGAAAGAAGGGAATTTAGCTTGCAGAGTAAGTTTGAGTGTTTGTTACAAAAGAAAAAAACATGGGTAGAGGATAGGATTTGTGCTATAATTTATACATTATAGTTTTAACTGTAAACTGTATACTTTGCAGAATGGGAATGAAATCAGGAATTATGAATATGTACAGTGTAAAAGAACCCACATGAGCTTTTCTATTGCAGAACCTAGACCCAAAACCCCAGGTTCAGACAAGATGCATGTTATGGAAAGAAGTTAAAAATTGTACAGGTTTTCAATATAGTTCTACAGGGAATACAAAAATGGTGTGCCTGCTTGTATTAGATCAGATGAAGATCTGAGGAAGACAAAAATCTGTCCTTATAACTCTGTGACTGCCCATACAGATGGTCACTGCTATACAAAGGGGGCATTTACCATGCATTTTAAAAACACTCAAAGTTCATAATCTTTTACTTCATATTTTGAAAAACAGGTCTCTAGTGCAAGAAATTTAGAGACTCCTGCCTAGGCAACTACAAGTACCTTTTCCTATTCAGAAAGCAAGAAGCCCTGTTCAGTGGCACTACCTGCATGAAAATACAGGGATAGCTGTCTTAAACTGAACTGCAATACAAGGAAGATATTTAAACTTCAAAGATCATGGGTTATCAGGAACAAAGCTTCCAACAAGTCTATGACCCGAGTCTCTGCTTCTCCCTTTCACAATACTTTTTAAAAGCCTAATGGTACACAAACCATCCAAAATAGTTCCCCTTTTCTGTCCCTTTCCCAACCTCCACTGTAAAATACACTACTCTGCAAGTCTGGATAGTACTACCCACGAAAAAGAAAAAACAATCCTTAGTTTCTCCTTCCAACATGTAGTATCTTTATATTCTGAAATAGAATTGAAATATAATATAATCTATATAATCTTTTTATATTTTATATTATATATTCTTCTGAAGAATATATAGTTACATATGTGGTTATAACTGAGAATAACATGAAATGATTAACACATCCACCACCTAAGAGAAAAGAAGGGGAGAATTACAGTTTGACAGTATGCTGTAATGCTGTTTTCATGATGAATAGAGGCATCAGACAGTCAGTCAAGAATCAGTCTTTGCAGTTGAATTGCAAAAAGTTGACAAGACCCTACAGTGCATAGATGCCATTTGTACCTCGTATTTGAGGTATTCACCACGCTTGGTAGTTTCATCATTTTACAGACCATTAGCTTTAAAAATCAAGCTCCACAACAAGGTTCCTATAGATTCAAACAAAGTAACACATACCCGAATTTCCCTCCTAGTTTTGGGGTTGAATTTTGTGTTCTTGGGAACTCCTGGAATGATGTACAGTCGTGCTAATTGATCATTAATTCGCAGCTCGATGTATTCTTCTTTGCAGATATAATCTTTTATGTCAAAGCCAGTTTCTTCAAACACCTGAGAAGCACATAGGTGAAATCAGTGTGTGTATTCAGATTTATCCTTTCAGAACCCATCATCACAAGGGAAGGAAGGAGTATTTTTCAGATCTGTCCATGAAAGCAGGTCACTGCTGAGAAAAACAAGCCTTTACACATAGATATATGCTCAATAATAGAAAAAGAGCTTTACACTTCTCTAAGACAGACTGACCTGCAATAAAAGTTGAAACATCTCTATTACACCCTCATGTAACAATTTATTAATATGGATGGGGAGTCTAGCTGCATGTTTCTGGATGCATGGAAAAGTCTTATTCACAGGATCTACTATTTGGGGAGTAAAGACCTTCAAATTCTAGCAAGGTTTCCTTGCACCTCAATTTTTTTCCTCTTTCAACAATCCTTCTACTTCATGAACCTTCTACCCCCGTATAAATATAAACACTTTTACATTCACAACAAAACCCAGCAATATGGTAGCAAAACTTTTACTACCAAATTCAAACCACACATTCACACTGACAAAGAAGCTTAAAACTGCCTTGTCAGGTACTCCAAAGGGGTAAAACAGGAGTGTTGTATCTGCTGGAGACTACTAGAGAAGCAATGATATTGTAAAAGAACATTTTCTTTGCATCTTTTATAGTCTTGAAATGAAGGACCATAGATTCATAAAGTGCTTTGGGTTGCAAGGGACATTCAAAGGTCACCTACTCCAACCTTCCTGGCCATGAGTAGGGTTATCTTTCAGCTAGATCAGGTTGCTCACAGCCTTACTAAGAAATATTTACTTTTGACAACATTCTCAAATATACAAGGTTTATAATATACAAATATTCATGTCAAACACACCTAATAACTTAAACCAGATCATGTCTCTAAGCTTGCTAAGGAAGTACTTATTTTCAGAAACTTCCTAGTCTCTGAATTCTCTACAAAAAATACAAGTATCGGAAAACAGGCAGGATTGATACCACTGTCCAAAATATTTCTGCCCATACAGTGGACAAGTATGACTACAATCACTCAAAGACCTGTATACTAACCCCAGGGCTATTAAGCCCCACTGCCAATAATCCAAAAGCAGAAGTCCACAGTTAAATTTTCTAAAGACCAGATTTATAATTAAAAAGAGGAACAGAATCTTCAATAAAACCTCATTTCAACCCCCATCTCCTGGGGGTACGGATAATGAAAAATAGAATCAAGTAGCTACATATAAAATGATAAGAGCAGAAAATACTCAAAATATGTTATGCAAGACACCAATGTATATATTGTTATCAGCAAAATGGTTTTAAGTTCAATTTTTGAAAATGCAGAAAAATTAAGCATAAATATGAAAAAAACCAGAAGTGTTTAATACAAAGAAAGTAATTGGCCAGTTAGTCTTCGAATTCCCACGTACAACTCCTCTTGTATCAAAATAAAAAGCAAGCCATCTTCCCATCTAACTACTTTAAGAACATCAGAGTTTAGGGGAAAAAAAAATTTAAAAAAATAAAAAAAAGAAACAAACAAAACCCCACCACCACACACTGTCTCAATTAAAAGAGATGCTTTTCCTCCATACTTACTACTAACACCCATGTTTTCCCTTCCAAAATGATCTTTCCAGATTATTTAAGTGAATTAATTGTAGAGACTGCTCTTACCAAGAGAATCATCCATTTAGTATGGTTTTGCCCTTATCAGGTTCTGAAATACCACTGCACTGCATAGGCACAGCCCAGAGAAGACCTCTATAATTAGACCTTATACAGATGCAGTTTATGGTTTTAGACATATGCTGGCTCCAATAAAAGCAGTTCAAAGACTTATGCACAATTATTACAGACATCCCAATTCCCGGCTACATGTAAGCCCTGAAGAATTTGCTAGTTTACGCACAATGACAATCTACCCTGAGGGAAAAAGTTCATAGCAACAGTGTTGTTCACTAGTGTAATCCAAATCAATTCTCCAAATTCAAAACACTACCAAAATATTTTTTTCCCCAGTATAACTGTGCCCACTTTAATGCTTTTGCTATCATAACTTGAAGTAAAGAGGAAGGCATACTTCACGTCATTCCTTCCTGTAGCAGTTACGCCTAGTTTGTCCTAGCCACTGTGTTGTGGTCCATATATTTTTATGGTCTCCTCTCCCTTCAGTCCTTTAGACCAACCCTAAAAGAACATGATGAGTAAAAGTTTAACTGAACACGTGCTGTGGGGTAGGCGGAAAGAGACATGCATTGAATAATCAAATTAACCTTATTAAGTCTCTACTCATCCTTTCCCAGCCCTTGAGTTCTGCAATTACAGCCCACTGCATCTGTAGCTCAAGGTGTTTCACTCTTTGGCGTGTCATTTGATACTACATAAATAATGTTCTACACTCAGAAATCAGTAACTGCTAACATGAAAGCGTATTTCACGTGTGTCTATCGCATGACACTGCAGTCACCTTATTTTGCTTTTCCAAGTCCATATTAAATGTATGAGTGGTGTGGACAGCACCATCAGGGAATCAGACATTTTCATTCATTCATCTTTGACATATTTTTTTTTTTTTTTTTAAATCCGTGATTTTTAAATACTGATTCTATCCAACCATAAAGAAAACTAAGGCATTTTATTACTTTCCCTAATCTTAAGTATTCCTTTCAAAAATTCTGGATGCATTATGTGACATGAACATTACAGTTTATACCAGCAATACTCTTTTACAGGCTATTTTCAACATACAGCTTCACTATATACATATACATGGGTCTCCAGCAGCAATAAATCCCACAGATTATTTTCTTTTTCAGGTTTTATTTGGCATATACTTTGAACTTTGTTCCTGCACCACTGAAAAATAGAAAAGTAAAGTTCTTCACAATTTTTATGCAATCTTCTACAGCCTCCAACTTAACTCTTTACATAGCCTAAATTAGTACATAGGCTAAATTCCCATTCTTCTACATTTTTACAGTTATGATGACCTTTGAAATTAATATTCCAAAGGCCACAAAGTACCTAAGATTCCACAAGCAACAAAAATAATACTTAAAAGTAACTGATAGTGCAGCAGAGAAATATAATACTACTCACTTAACTTAGCAAGTTAGTACAAAATAATTAAAAACATAGTATGGTGATTTTAAATTATACAATCAGACCCTTCATTATTGCTCTGGAACTCAGAAAAGCTCTAAAAGCTACCAGCAGAAGCCTCCTGCAAAAATAGACTATTTACCTGATTTCAATAAAGAGATATTAAGTAAAATGTTGTTTCATCTACCACATATCTCCTGTGCTCAGAAAAATTTCATTTCTTTAGCTTAAATTCAAGGGAATCAAATATAACTTACCTCTCTAGCAGCACAGTCATGAGGAGCCTCTTCTTTATTTACTTTCCCTTTTGGAAATCCCCAACCAGACTTTGCCAAATAGCCCTGAACCAAAAGAACCTGCAAAATACAAGAGAATGCAACTCTCAGAACCCCACTATTCTAACCCATTTCTATTAAATGTCTTGTCTTCATTGTCCCCTGCTTCTCCAGAAAAAACAACTTTAGGCTGGATGGGCTTTAGGTTTTTTGTGTTCTAACAAGAACTGCAGATTTTTTTATGGGTTCATGCAACTCTTAAAAAAACAAAAAACAAAAAACAAAAAAAAAAAAAACTGAGTAGAAAAGCAAGTGGAAGTATGTTTACTGTCTCATATATTATATTTCTGTACACACCCAACAATGTCAAGAAACTGTCAGGTCTTTGTGAATCTGAAGCACTTTCCCCACTCCAGTCCACCCGTCCCTCCCCCCTCCAGCACCTCCACCCTTCCAGCGATGGAAAAATGTAAACAAAGAGATCACTTCTGCAGGCATCCTTCCCTCTAGCCCTTCACAACTATTTCTGTCCTTACATTTTCAAGTGTCTCATCGAGAATAATTGCACCATAGGTTGGCACTCCCATTTTGTATTCTTTCCACTCATCTAAAACCTTTTGCACATCTTCACCTTGAGGCAGTAAAAAAGGGCAGTGATTGAAGAGTACAGCGGCACGTTAAGGACGATAAACATAAGCATACAGTTTAAAAATCACACCCAGACATACAAAAGACACCCATTCAACATTTACAACTACCACACTCCTTCACTGAAGTGCTTTCAAGACATATTCTCTTGGAAGTAAAAAATATTATGACTAATCCATCATCAAATTCTGAAGGTCAGAAGGCATCAAGTTATTCAGCAATTCCAAGCCAACTGAAAAAAAAAAAAAAAAAAGGAAAAGAAGATGGCACAAGACTGCTTGTCTGAAGGAAGATCTCCCCGAATTTTGAAAAAATAGTAACCACGTAACAGTTATTTTGAATACGCATTATTCTTAAACACATTTTTTTTCATTTTGAAGTGAGACAGACAAAAATACAGTTTCATCTTGTGCTTGATGTAAGTGGATAAATTTTTCCCACAGTCATTTGTTAAAACTACAATACAGGAATCTGTACTTGCATATATACTATGCAAAAAAAATTATATTTTTAATGGCATCAAGTTACATACTTCTAAATTGTAATACACTTTAACAAAACACACCATGCAGAGAAAACACGAACGACCTTTATAACTCTAATTCTGAAAGCAAATCCTTTAATTAAAGTCCTTAATAAAAGTATTAATATTATATATTACATATAAAATTATACTACCAATAAATATTAATCCATAGCAGAAAGCATAAAAATATAACACTGCAGCAGAGCTAACATTTCTGGCAAATGTGAGCTAGAGAGGGACAGATGTCATGAATAAATAAAACATATTATATTGTATTTTTTCTGCGCTGCCTACAATTACTGTAAGAATTCTTTTGGCCTGAAAATATATTTGTATTTAAAAAATACCTAAAATAAATTTAAAAAATAACTGCATAATATCAAGAAATAGAAAATTATCATATTTTAACAGTTTATTGTTAAAACAAAAGCTGTAGCATTTCTAAGTCTCTGTTATCAAACTAACAGAGAAGTATATTGTGTAGTGAAGCCACAGATAATATTATCCTGAAAGTTAAAAGCAATACTCCATTCCCACACCAAGAATATATGAGATAAGGCTAAAACTAAAACACTTGCTAGATGAAAGTCACAAGTTTTTCTCCAGCAAGGACTAGATAGTGTATGTTCCAGCGGCCCTTGTAAGCAATAAAACAAAACAGAGGCCAACCGTATGAATTCAGTAAAAACACATCTTCTCCCAACTACCTACAGAATTGTTTCTAGAAGCAACTGCCAGTACTTCTGACAAACACGCACCACTGTCCATGGGGGAGCCACCTTCAGCTATGTTAACATTTATGTCACTATTTACTTGGAAAGGGATTAAATTAAGGAGACAAAACATCACGGAGAGCTCTGACAGCTCATCTTTGAAAACGCCCTAGTCTGCCAAAGTGCAACCATGAGGAAAATCCTCAAAGATCATAAACTACCTGTTTGCTATAGTTCTTGAGTAGTCTGAGAAACATCTCTTTTGTGGATGCCAAAAAATTATGGAATCAATGAACAGATAAAATCACATACCTACTAGCAATACTAACTTCTAATGACTAGCACATGAACTGACATTATCCTGTTGCAAGTATGAAATTTCACTAACAATATTCAGTTTGTACTTTATCCACGGAGACAGAAAACAATCACAGTAATGAAAGGATATCAGCTTTAGCAAAGTCTCTTATCCCACACTGAGGTAATCCTGGTGTGTTTTGCATGTAGAAGTCCAAGTAAAACCAATGGGCAAGTTCAATCTGAAAACACACTCTGATTGCATTGTCTCTCTCTTCACTTGGAATGTGCAAAATAAATCGGCTGCCAGGAAAGAAAGAAGAGTAAGATTAGCCAAATCTATTGCTTTATATAAATCTAACAACAAAAATGCATTGCAACAGTGGAATTCCTAATCCATTAGCAAAGAGCAACAGACCAGGTGGCCTGGACAGCAAAAGATTTTCACATCAAAGTAAAATACAGCTTCTAAAGTCAAGAAAGAGAATGGATGGTGATTTTCTTTCACAAAAGTCAATTACAGTAAACTAGGGTAAATTAACTGTTGTGAAAACAGGAAAAAAGAAACCTTACCTAAATGTGTATACTACAAGAATGAAAGCATTTTTACATGTCCAGTGGAGAACATCTACAAACTCTGATAACAGAAGTCAACACATTTTTTTCTGGACATAAGGTAAACGTGGCTATGCATTTTCACTTAAAACAACAGTAAACCATTGATTTATGTAGATTTTAAAATTCAATCCTCTTGATTTTCTCAGTCTGAAACAGAACATGGACAATTGGTTTATTTTGCAAGTTTACTTGATGCTTTAGCTCAGATACTGGCATACAGGGTCCCAGAGATGTAAGTGAAAGTGCCTCTGCACGATAGCCTATTTTACTTAAACTTTACTTACCTAATTACTTGTAAGATCAAGAAAAACAGAATTTTCTTTTTAGAAATGTAAGGTCACCCACCTCATTGAATCTAAACCATTTGTCAGAGATCTTTTACATTCAGCTCCTGAGTACCACCAGCTACATTCCACATAATATAATTGCCAATAACAATGCTTAAGACATCTTTATTTAAATATACAATAAGTATAAATTTTTAAGGGATCTCAAAGTGGTTGCCTGGCCCAGCCACTCTGGCCAAGAACGGCCTCTTGCCTGGCCGCTGGAGCGCAGCCCCACGCACCAGGGACTCTGCCCAGGCTGGAGGACACGGCTGCCACTTTGCCTTTGGCAGGTTCAACCAGTAGCAAAGCCCAGCACGTATCCCAGGGACACACACACAGAGGACAGAGCTGGTCACACAGGCTGCCACAAGGTGCTGCCTTCGATAGCACCTACATACAGGACTCAGGCAAAACACAGGCACAGAGAGCCAAGTCCCCTTCTGCTCTTCAGCTGGCAGACACAGAAGTGCTAGTGCATGAGCACACTTGACATTCTCCAGGTTCACAAGTACATGCACATCCATAGGTCTCCCAAGAACCAGCAGAGCTATGCCTGTCCACATAAACAGGTCCCTGCCTCACTGGCTGGTCCAGCTTGAAGTTTGCTAGTGAGTGCACAACAGGTTTGGAGAAAAGAAGACACTTACCCGCTACCAGCCCAGCAGCTAGCTAGGCACATGGTCTGCAACCCACAGTCCTGCTCCAGCCACCAGCACTCTATCCCTCACTCACCCCACTCAACACAGTTCCCCAGCAGTGGCTGGTCTTCAGGACACTCACCATCCCCACCCCAGCGGTTGGAAGCCAAGACCCCCACCCATGTGAGTAGCTGGCACCAAGACACCCCCCCACCGCAGTAGCTGACAATCTGTCTACTCACATGCAGAGACAGCCCTTCACCCCTGTACAAAGGTACCTGGGGTAGAGGGTGAGATTATGCAGACAGAAAGTTAGGAAAATATTTAATAAGATAGGCCAGACCGCGGCACTCAGGCGAAAGGCTCAGCCAGACAAGCGTACTGACCGTCCCAGCTTTATACACAACCATCATCCCTCTTATACCCCTTTCTTTTGACTTTCTCCCTGCCACACCTCTCCCAGCCTGGTGTGTGGGATGCCTCTGGTTTACTGGCTGATCGGCCTGGAAATAGTGCCCGTGGTTTCGGGATAGTCTGACTGGCAAGTTTGTTTATTGCCATTGTCTTCACTTTTGTTTTCTTAGGTCTGTGTCTCTATATTTTTAGTTCTGATTTCCCCATTTTCTCCCTTACTTTCTCATGACCAGGTCCACACTCAGATAAACTTGCTGGGATGAAAGTTCCCATGCCCCCTCATCAATTTGTGGCCAGGTTTGGTTCCCATCACTGCCTCCCTTATTGTTCCTCCCTCGGCTTCTGTCCCTTCTGTTTATGGTTTCCTCCCGTTCTTGTTATCCTGTTTTCACATGGAAAAAGGTCATTGACCAGATACCCTTAAAGAAGCAGACACTCTCCCTTATATAAATAGCCTTATTTGCTTCAACAACAGTATTTTCCTACTTGCCAATTTTCAGTTGGCAGTATCACCCCCCCAACTGCTTCTTTCTTTTTAAAGGCTCTATTACAGATGAAAATAGCTCTTACATATACTGTTACTATAGGTTAAAGGTAAAAAAATAAGTCTACTTTATAACTAGTTGATGATGTTGCCCCAGCACTGCAGCTGAACATAAATCTGAAGACACAATATGTAGAATTAGTACCAAAGAGAAGTAAGAACATGCCAGCATTAAGCTTAGAGTAACAAGAATAAAGCCAATTAGAACACTACTTATTAATCAATAACCTAGCTCCTAAGTTACTTAGAGTGACTGAAGTGCTCACAACAGGCATCTCTAGACAGCAGGGGGCTGCAGGGTAGCCTCCATTTAGAAGAAGCCAGGACTGCCCTGTACTGGACACAGCTGGCTCCAACAGACACAGCTGAAGCCAGCAGCCAAGATGGTGGCACCTCTAAGGAAGAATAAAAAAGTCAGACAGGCAGAGGAAGACAGAAAAAGAGTATGAAACAGCCGCACAAATGCCAAGGTCAGAGAAGGAAGAGGGAGAGGAGGTGCTCCATGGCAGAGCATATGTTCACACTGCAGCCTGTGGGTAATCCCATGCCACAGCAGATGAACAATTCCTGAAGGAACTTCAGCCCAAGGGACAGACCTCACACTGGAAGAAAGGTAAAGCATAGAGGAAGGAGAGGCAGAGACGAAGTGTTATGGACTGATCCATCCCCATCTCCCTGCACTGCTCAAGGGGGAGGAAGTAGAGGAGTCAGAAATGATGGGGTGAAGCTGAACCCAGGAAACATGGTTGTTACAGTTTTTGTCTTTGTTTCTCTCCACCCAAATCCATTTTAGCTGGCAACTAACTAAATTAATTTTCCCCAAGTTGAGTGTGGTTTGCCCATGATGGTAACTGGTATCATCCTGAGCCACAAGCTTTTCCATCCTATTTTCTACCCCCATCCTGTTGAAGAGGGGAAGTGAGTGGCTGGGTGGGCATCCCGATGCTGGCCAAGGTAACGCACCACAATCCTGAAGTCAAAAAATGGGGTAACAGCACTTGCTTATATGAGAAAGCACCAAGAAGTCCCAAAACCTACATTAAGACTATGTACCTCCACTTATTTATTCAGTAAAGAACAACTCACGAATGCAAGACAATATGACCAAAAGAGTGACCTGGATACCTGTGACTTGTTATTTAACACTCTGGGTCAGAGTGGTCTACAACTGAAGCTTAAAACACACTTACCAGAACAAGAATAAATTGTATCCTGGCGCTGTGTGATCTGAACCAGCCTAGGAACTCAACACATGTTTGAAGACATTATGTACCTGTCTTTGGCTTTCAACTTGTTTTCATGTGCTAGCAAGTAAACATTTCACTCTCTGAATAAGTATAGAGGTGTAACATTTTACCCCCTGAATACAAATGCTAAGTGAAGAAGTCTCTAAATTTACTTTACCAGAAGGGAAAAACTGAGACAGCTTGGGGAAAAAAACCCCACAAACAAACCAAACAAAAAAAATCCCAAACATTAAATGAAAGTGCACTAAACTACTGTTTTAATGTTATTTTTGTTATCCTTAGCAGAATGGTTTTGCAATGAAAGCATTTAACAATAACCACCACCACCATTGTCACTTACACTCAATTCTCACACAGATCTCTATAGCTTAATATAAAAGCCTGCTTTGTTATTTTACAGTGTTGGGAAAAGTTGTGGGATTTGGTTTGGGTTTTGGTTGGGGTTTTTTTGATTTTGTTTTGTTTTTTCTTTGGGGGGGAGGTCTTGGCTTTTTTTTTTTTTTTTAAGAGATAGCTTCTACTGATTGTCTAGTACAGTTTTCAGTGCTGTATGGTTTCAATATTAGATTCTGTGAAGTCAGCTATGAATGTTTGAGTACACTCATTACAGCAGGTAACTTTATATGTTGAGCTACACAAGACACACAAAGCCCAGGGCCTGAGAGCCCTTCACCCAATATACTTGCTTTAATAAAGCCAACATGAAAGAGAATTTCTAATAATATAAATTAAAAAGTCTACGTTTAAGCTTAGGTATAACCTGTATGAAAGTATTAGATTTCAACTGCTCACAGCATGGAAAAATACTAAGGTTGATGTCAGAAAGAATATCCACAAGTATGCATTGAGGCTGTAAGGTTTGGTTTTTTTTTTTTCTCCCACAGAAGAAATAGGTACACTAAATTTCCCTTGTCCAGATAAAAACTTAATTTGATGTTGAATGCTAGTTGCTACTAAATAGCCAAATTTACCCTAGCAAAATACATGATCACACAAATATTGCATGTGAAACCTTGTAAAAGTAATATCAACCTACAAACCCTCTATAAGAACAAAATCCAGACCCTCCTAGAAGTTCATATATTTCAAAACTCAAGTTAAGTGACTACAGACAATAAAAATGTGGACTCAGCCCAATTAACTATACAATTGAACAGTATTTGTCAACTTAAGATCAAAATTGATTACTATAAAAAGAAATCCAGTCATTCTGCACAGGACCTAAAATCTTGGCAGCTCTAACTCACGATTGCAAAACTAAAATAATTGATGTGGTAGAGGTTACCCAGCAGTATTTCATGGGGTTTTATAACCCATCAGGCCCAAAAAATACAAATAATAATAAAAAAAACAGAACCACCACACCCTCCCCTCAAGGCACACAAAATGAAGATACCAGCTAAAGCACCTTTATATGCCTTTGGAGCTAGCAACTGCTGTGAGAATTACCTGCAGGCATTAGAACAGCTGTAGCTGCCCCGAACAGTGAAATTATTATATAGACTAATTGGCTAAATTAGTTAGAACAGCTGCAAGTGATCTGAGGACCTACACATGAGCCTCTTTGAGTAGCCTCTGTGTGAAACCTCCCTGAGCTTCTGCCCAGACAGGAGTCCCTGTGAGGAATCTAAAGAAAGTGATTCAGCTTAAAGTAAAACCCACATTTTAATTCAGCAATGCATAATGTTGACAGAATTAGCACCAGCTCACTGTGATCTTTCTGTCATAAGGAAATAGCAGGTAAAATGGCAGATACAGTCACCAGTACTTCTTACAGAATCAGTGAGAATGCAATATCTCCTGCATACACAAACTTTTAACAACTAAGAGTTTTCTGAAGGGAACCCAGACCTTTTGCTTCAGGATAAAGGAAAATATCCTTGCCCAAAGAAAAAGTGTAGAAGTCTTAGACAGATATTCTAGCACTCTCAGGATATAAATAAAACCACGAGTTCTGTCTTCCTAACACCTAAGCTTTTAAATTAACGTTTTGGTTTTCAAGTACAGTTAAAAAAAAAAAAAACAACCACTAAAAAAAAAATCTCAAGTTACTTGGCAAGCTTGACTTGAAATTAGATTTATTTCACTATCTAGCTTAGCAAAAGTTACGTGAATTCTTGCCATCTCCTAAAAATTCACGAACAGTTATTTAGATTTACAGCTCAAACTGGTACAATTCATATAAGAAGATACTAAAGAATTTGTATGGGTCTTGCAACTTTCCAAAACTGTTATATTGAAACTATAATTACTTGAGTACTGAGGTTTATTTGCTGATAGAATTTAAAAAAAAAAAAAAAGGAAAGAAAAATGAAGTATAGGTTAGGCTAGAAAATATTTAGAATTTTCTCAATAACTGAGCATGAAAAAATGCTTGGCTTTCTATACTAAAATCTCCAATAATATAGATAGATTGAGGAATGTGGGAAGTGACAGATATTTTAATAACCCATTTATAGCCAAACACCTGAAGTACATCACCACTGATCTTCCGCTTATCTTCTCCCTTGAGCCAAGGGCTATCAGGCCCAGTCACTCCTCTAGTGCACACCAGAATTCCTTTTCTCTTTCCCACAGGAAAGCCTGACCCCTCTGCTCCTTTCAGTTGTTCTGTCTGCGTCCAAGCAAGCCAACATATCTGAAGCAGGGTTGATCTGCTATCACTAATGGAAGTCAACAAGGTGAATTAGGAAAAGATGAGGAGAGAGAAAGACGGTAACTAAAACACCCTGATCTACCATTCCAAGGCTTTTTTTTTAATTAAAGCCACACAACAACATTCATACAATTGTAAGACAAAACACCATTTCAAAGGTAGAAGATGACAGCAGCTCAGAGGAACACAGTAAGACAGTGAGACTGATCCTATAACAATGTAAGATCTGATTACTCATGTGCCCCACAGGAGTGATACTAATAGGTTATTTGTGCACTGTGATTCCCCTCTGGATTTTCTGAAGAAGTATTAAACCTCGCTTCACCTATGAGCGAGCATCTAAAAGATAAGTCCCACCTCTCTGTAGGGAGCCCAAAGGAGGCATGATGAAACTCAAACATGCCTCAGAGGCCAGACTTAGAAAATCGAAAATTTACTTGTGCACTGCAAACTCTGACTCTCACATTAGATATATGACAAAACTCTACTTAGAGAAGCAGTTCTAGCTTCCTCTAGCATTCTCACTCTTAAGTATTTTCACTCATTTGAAAACAGTAATTCCAGTACGTGGACTACCCTTTTTCTCTAGTAACCTTTCCCTCTTATGGATTAATACATTAATACTTCAGGAGTCCTTTTGAGACAGTAAGACAGAAGGATTTTTTCATGTCAAATGTCACAACTACTTTGGGGCATTGAATTCTGGGGTTGATAGACAGAGTCCAAAGGGCTACACCATAGATGATCGGAGGTTGTTACCATAAGTGGAAGAAAAGCCTCCCTCCTCCCCAAGAAAGGGGAACCCGTGTTTTATGAACATTTAAAGATGTAGCCCTTAGGATAAGCAAAGATAACCATTTCTCTATGAAAGGACCAAGAAGCGGGAAGAGGACGGGTTCAGCCTGAAGGGAATTCCCTCGGTACCTCCTTTTCTGTCCCACTGGAACACTTCTCTTCCAGCAGCGCTAAGTCAGCAGTGCTGAGGGACCCCCTGACCCCCCCCCCACACACG